AGCGAGTTTTTTGTCTTGCGAGGCATTCGTCTTGCGGGGCACTACTGTATTTTTCTCAGAAGGTTGATAAAATATGTATAATTCCGGGGGCCACCAGGTGGCGCGTTGGAAGATGGCCGACAATAACATCTCTCTGACCCATACGAGGTACTAAGGGGCTACTATGGGAAGTATGTAGCCTTCCTGACTCCTCCAGGATGTGGAGAAGAACTGCCCTGCCAGCGGTGTTCACAATGCACCCCCTGAAACAAGTGATGGGGGTGCCGAACACTTGGCAAAAGGCCCTTGGTGAAGACAGACCTTCCTGACGCCGATTCCAATCAGCGCGTGCTGGTTGCTTCAGCTGGAATTATAATTGGAAACATACGATTGGAAACGAAGCTGAAAGCACATACATCAAGTAAAGCTTGTGTGTTGCATGAGTCGCACTACTGGCTCTGAGGTGCAGGCAGAGGGCATGGCCACCCTGGACGGGAAGAAAAGGGGAGAGAAGCACAAGGAGTCTTGATTAATTAAAAAAAAAAATGCTTTGCACAGCCATGCACAATCATACCCGTTTCTAAAATTTCTTTACCGGTGTGTGTTTTTGTAAATCTGCCAAAGAATAAAATCAAATCAGGATGAAGGGGTTTTCTCAAGACAGTGGAGGGTGTGTGTGTGCTGTGTCTTGTTTGTGTGGTGGTGGCAGCACTTGCTCTCCTGCGGAGGGGGAGGCAAAAAATGGGGGGTTGAGGAGGATCGGTTGTGGGGAGTGAGAAACGTCCCTATTTTCAGCTAAGGTATGTTGGAGGGTATGCATTAGGTCCCTTAGGTATCTTTTTGACTGTGGGCCCTGCTGAACCAGAGCACACTCTACCAAACATTGCTCCACATTCCCCATGATCCAGTGGCTGAGGTGTGTATGCAACTTGCCTGATGTACACATGATCCTTTGCAGAAGCTTCCTCTTTCATTTCAATGGGTTGTAGCCAAATAATTTCTACTCAGGGGTAAAGGTAAAGCAACCCCTGACCATTAGGTCCAGTCATGACCGACTCTGGGGTTGCGGCGCTCATCTCGCTTTATTGGCCAAGGGAGCCGGCGTACAGCTTCCGGTCATTTGGCTAGCATGACTAAGCCGCTTCTGGTGAACCAGAGCAGCGCACGGGAACGCCGTTTACCTTCCCGCCGGAGCGGTACCTATTTATCTCCTTGCACTTTGAGGTGCTTCTTGAACTGCTAGGTTGGCAGGAGCTGGGACCAAGCAATGGGAGCTCACCCCGTCACGGGGATTTGAACCGCCAACCTTCTGATCGGCAAGTCCTAGGCTCTGTGGTTTAACCCACAGCGCCACCCGTGTCCCTTTCTACTCAGGGGAGACCCACTCAAATCAAGGAACCTAACAGCCATTTCCATTGATCTCCCTGGGTTTGCTCTAGCACTGGATGCAACCCAATGCCTGGATCTACCTTGCTTGCAGAAAAGTCTAGCTTCAACCCCCAGCATCTTCAGGTACGGCTAGGAGAGAATTCTATCTGAAACCCTGGAAAGCTGAGCTAAGCAGACCAGTGGTCTGACTTTGTATGTTTCTGAGGTAAGGGAGTTTAGGAGCCAAGTTGCTGGACATAACTCAATTCATGATAGAGGCAAGTCCTAGGAGTTGATAGTTGCTGGATCATTTGCTAAGCAAGCCTCTTTCCTAGAAGTCTGTGCCTTTTGGTTCATTTCACGCAGGCAATAATTAATCTTGTAGCAAGCACAAACTGGAATAGGTCACCCCAACACCAGCACTCAGTTCTGCCAAGGAATAAGCCTTCAGGGTGGGTGAAGTGTGTTCTTCATTTGTTGCTGTGGTTTTTTTTGTTTTCATGGTAATGACTAAATATGTCTCAGTTTTACTGTAATTTTGTTTTTTATGTTTTTATCTTGTACATAGCTTTGTGATTTTAATGAAAAGTGTCACTAAAATCATTCTGAATAAATAAATGAAAGGGTGCACAGGGCTGGTGAATATAGCATGCTTGGATTCCACATAGGAGACTATTTGGCTGGAAACGTAGCTCAGATCAACACTTGCCAGGGTTGTGTTTGGATTTCTAAGTAATCACATGTCTCTAAAATAAGCTATCCTATCCAGTTGGCCTATGAATCTTAGCACTTTGAATGAAGGCAATGGAACTACTTCTAATGTTACATTTTCCTACTATTGGGAGTGGAGAATCCATGTTTCAGGACAGATTTGTGGGCATACTCTGATTCGGCTCGTGGAACTTTGCTGCAATGTGGATTGTTCATTTTTAAATGATGCTTTTAAATTTTTTACACTCTGCATCTACAGGAATTCCCAAACACTCCTACAGAGAGAAAGATACTCTATATTGGGATCAGCCCTGAAACACCAGAAGACTGCATTGTCATCTCCTCTTTATGCTCCTTTTATAATGGCAATAATAATGTAAATCGAGGCCATAATCAACATTTTACCAGTCTCATAAAGAAAGCCAAGGGTGTTAATGCATGTTTTCCCACTGCTCTGTGGTAGTGTTGGGGTGTGTTTCACCAAGATAGTAGGGAAGAATTAAATCTCCCATCCCTATTCACTGTGGGTCTGTGACCAAACACTCCCAACCCCTTGAACTGGTATTTATTCATTTTTTAAACCCAAGATGTGATTGCTAATCACATGGTTAACATAATGCAGGGGAGGCTAACCTCCAGATCAGCCTTTCTCAACCTGTGGGTCCCCAGATGTTGTTGAACTACAACTCCCATCACCCCTAGCAAGGCCAGAGCTCAGGGATTATGGGAGTTGTAGTCCAACATCTGGGGACCCACAGGTTGATAACCGCTGCTCCAGATGTTGTTGGATTCCAACTCTAATTAGCCAGTCAACATGACCAGCGCTCAAGGATGATGGGAGTTTTGGGAGTTGTAGTTCAGCAACGCCTGGAGGTTGTTGCTAATATGCCAGGAGAGGACATTGCAAGGCAACAGATCATTCAGTGGGTAGAGAAAGCTTCAAATGGCACAGAGCTTTGGTATCTCTTTGGAAGGGATCAGACGATGTTGGCTTTTGGGGTGTTATCTTGTAACCATGGATTGCTGTTATTGGTTATTCAGTTTGGGGGAGCAACTCAAAATGTGGGCTTCACAGCACAAAATGGACCAAACCAGCACAAAACTTTGGCATACGTTTGGAGGGGATTGAAAATTTCAGGGTCGCATGTTAATAAAGCTGGCTGAGAACAACCTACAGCACCTGTGAGAAAACTGGTCCTATGAAGCTACAAGAGAGGTGAAATGTTCAACCTGTAAAAGATTGCAGGGCATGAAAGAGCACCATCTAGTGGCACTTTGGGCTACACTGGAATATGTGCTGGGTTTCCTATGGCAGTCGTTTGAATGCCCTGTGTCCAATGCAGAGTGCCCCGAAATGAGTGCTTTCCCAAGAGATTAAACAAGAGCAGATCTGTGAAATGTGGCAGAAATTTCAGGGATTCCTCCTATCAAACACGGAACTGCCAAAAAGTAGGGTTAATACAGCGGTGCCTCGCAAGATGAAATTAATCCATTCCGCGAGTCTCTTTGTCTTGCGGTTTTTTCGTCTTGCGAAGCACGGCTATTAGCGGCTTAGCGGCTATTAATGGCTTAGCGGCTATTAACGGCTTAGCGGCTTTAAGAAAAAGGAAACAAGCTCGCAAGAACTCGCAAGACATTTCGTCTTGCAAAGCAAGCCCATAGGGAAATTCGTCTTGCGGAACGACTTAAAAAACTGAAAACCCTTTCGTCTAGCGAGTTTTTCGTCTTGCGAGGCATTCGTCTTGCGGGGCACCACTGTAAGTGTATGCAGGACAGTCCTCTGTTTGAAGAGCTGTGACTCAGAGGGAGGGCTTCTTTTTGAAGGCATCCTCTGTCTGAAGGGCTGTGCCAAACTTAATTCCAGTTTAAAGATAAATAACCCAAAGGAAGAACAAACAGGAGAGGCTTTGAAGTTGTCCATCAACAACTGACACCTGCGCAGCAGTCTGAGCAGGCACACAGGTGAATTGTATTGTTTTCCATTTAAATGATATTTCTAAAGGTGCACCTTTAGCACGTTCAATATTTTTTGCAAATATGCATCCCCCTTTGTCCTTTTTGTGTGTGTCCATTGTACCATGACTTGGCAAGATTTGTTATGTTGTGATGCCCGAAAGAGCCTTCTTGGTGGTGGTGCCCAACTCTGAAACTGAAATGTATGGAATTATATCTGTCCCGATGCTTGTTTTGGGCAAAAGGAACTGTCACACATGGTACCCTCATGCTAACAGTCAATGTACCGTTCATAGAAAGAAATAACTGTGGAAACACACCAGACTTTATAGTCAGTCTGTTGTCTGTATATTTTCCTGAGTTGCGTGCTTGACATCAATCCTATGGTAAACCACATTCCTTATTTAGGAATGGTTTTTTTGTTTGATATCCATTTGATGATCCTGTGCAGGCTGAATATCTATATAAATAAACATCTTTGCAGTCCCAAATGAGGAATAATCACATGGGGTCTTGCTTACTTTACTGTATTGATTCTGTGATAAACACTGTTATAATTCGTCACACACCACTGGAAATGTATTTATTTATAGAGCTGTTCAGACTGCACAGGCTCACTTTACCGTAAGCAAGAAATCACATGCTTGCTTTACGCTTGTATGAGGCTGAAAGATGTCATAAAAGAAGGGGATGTATACAGAACTCTGGAGGGAAAAGATTCTTAGATTCCCAATGAAGGCTTGGTGGCCCCATTGTTTGACTTTTGAGGAGATGTTCAGGGAAGAGAGAAGCCAGTGAGGAGAAAGAGAGCAAAGTCCAAGTTGAAAGGTCTGAAGGCCTCAGAATGGCTGAGATGAAAACTTGATATCGCAGGGCAAAAACTGCTTTGCCCGGTCAGTTAACTGACAAATATTTTATGTTCAGCACAGAAGAGCAAAATGTGTCCGTTAGGTCCATGTGTGTTGTCTCCTCTCTTCTTCCCTCATTAGGGCTCTCTGGATGAGATGCTGCTACAAGCTGTGGTACCAAGAATAGCGGCGAAGAAAATAGAAACCCATTAAGATGAATATCAATTTTAGAGCACAACCTGAGCCTCAGCTGATCCCCCTGGGAACCTCGCGGCAAGCGGCAAATGAGGGCTCTTCTGGGAAAACAAGTTACTTTGTTTGCAGACACTCTCCACATCCAAAGACAGTGTGCCACATTAGAGGTAAACTCCCGCTGGAAGGGCTAATATGGCCAAGCCAAACTCTGTATTCATTTTTTGCATTTCCTGAACAAAAACTTAGGCTACATTCAGGTGGGGCTTTATTCTGTCTTCCTGACATTTCCTTACCTGTCGATTTTTGCATCTCATGTGATCTTTAAAAAGCTGCTTCTTGAAAATCTAGTGGAATTTAGCAGAAGCCTACTGCTTATTTTTGTGTTGTTTCCAGAAAAAAATACCTGTTTGCAACCCCGTGAACTCGAAAAGGTTCGGGAGTTTTGCGTTGCCATTTTCCCTTGGGTTTCATGATTGCACCACTGCCGCTCATGTGATGAAATCTGAGGTGGTATCCTGGCATATGCAGCTCTTTCCATGTGCCTAAAATTTAGCATGACATGGCAGCATATTGCTCAAGAAGCTGCAATTCCAAAACACTGCGGATACTGCAGTGTAAAAGGAACATTAGAAATTGGGACAGAAGTATGAGCATTAAAACTAGGAAAACCAATACTATAATCACCACATCTGAATGCAGCCTAAATGCAGGGTTTTTTAAAATGCATGTTCCTCTTTTTTTGAAGGGCAGAATTCTGCCCTCCCATAAGTTTGAAGTAAGATTCAACAGCCATTGCAGCCAACTCCTGTATGTGGACTGGGGAGGGGACACCATTTTGTTCTCCACTTCAGGCAGAACCATAGCTGTTAACTTTCCCTTTTCTTGTGAGGAATCCTATTCAGAATAAGGGAATTTCCCTTAAAAATGGGAAACGTTGACAGCTATGGGCAGAACTGCATGCAATTCTGAATCACCTAGTGTTGGTTCCGACATAAATCCACATCAGCTGATGGCTGTCAAGCCTTGTGTGTGAACCATCTCCATAAAGCTATGCTGTGTGAATGAAATCAAAGCTTTGGGACAAAAAAACAAACAAACATGGATCGACTCATTCACAGGTATGATTTTATAATCATACAAGTGGGCATAAAAATGGAGACATTTTTGAAAACAGAAAAATGCATTATATGCATTTTTGTACATCACAAAACTGCATGTTACTCAAATTTGCGTACAAAACTGGGGGATTATTGGGGAAAATTTGCACTAAAATGCTGATTTTTTATGAGGGATTTTTGAAAAACATCAAATTGCTGCAGAAATGTGGAGAACGGAATTTAATACTGAACAAACTAGAAACTGAGAGAACCAAAACTAATGGATCCTTCCACCTCTAGTCCTGAACTAAAGTATTATAGTTTCCTAGGGCTTATTCACATATGCATGTATGTTTGATTATACAACACTTAGTTGAATATTGATTTTGCATTTTTGCATATGCCATTGAGTTGGAGGATTGCATCTCAAAATTAAGATTTTTGCTTGAAGGATGGTGTTTCAATTCTGACATTGCTTTTAAATGTGTGGAGTTGATAGATTTGCCTACAAAAAGGATCAAAATTCTTCACCATCCCTATTTGAAACCCCCATTTCCAGTGTATCCCTGCACCAAAACCAACTGCACAATTAGAAAAATGTAAAATGCGTTCTTTCCCCACCCAGGACTAAATGATGCACCTGTCTGTGTTGTGAAAGACCGAGGATACAATGAAGGACGCTTCGTTGACTCAAGCACAGAACATGCTCAACTTCTCAGAAACAATGTAATGCCCACTGACAGTTCTTTTCCCAACAATACCCTGCCAAGCCTGGTACAAACCCCACTTAGAGCGAATGTTGGACGTAAGTACCCCTGGTTGCTTGCACAAAGGGATAGGATGTCTACTTCAAAACCACAGTTTGAGAGCCTCAATGGCACCCCTCTGGAGGCTTCATCTGGGGCAGAAAGCTTGGCTAGCCCACCCCCAGCTACGGCTCTGCCTTTATTACCCCCTCCTCAAAGTGGACCATCCACTAGATTGAGTTGCTGATGAATGTAAAGGTAAAGGGACCCCGGACCATTACGTCCATTCGCGAACGACTCTGGGGTTGCAGTGCTCATCTTGCTTTACTGGCCAAGCATGTGGCCAGCATGACTAAGCCGCTTCTGGCGAACCAGAGCAGCGCACGGAAACGCCGTTTACCTTCCCGCTGGAGTGGTACCTATTTATCTACTTGCACTTTGACATGCTTTCAAACTGCTAGGTTGGCAGGAGCAAGGACCGAGCAACGGGAGCTCACCCCGTTGCAGGGATTCAAACCGCCAACCTTCTGATTGGCAAGCCCTACGCTCTGTGATTTAGACCACAGTGCCACCCGTGTCCCATGATGATGAACGTACACGTCTGTAAATTCTTTGCAAAAATTTGGTTGACACAAAAACCACCACGGTATCGTGCCACCTGCACTGGAGGCATCCTCTGCCCTCCCATGTTACATAGAATTCCTGTATTTTTCAAGAGGCCTCACCAGGCTTTAATCCTCTATAATCTTAACATGAAAACTCATGCAAAATCCCTCTATTGCATTTCAGAGCTTATGAGAGACGAAATTGCAGAGCTCAAGCAAAGAACAGGAAACACCCCACTTTTAAAGAGAAGGGTAACGAGCCAAACTACTGCTGGTATTTGTAACTGAAACCATCAAGACTTCTTGGAGCATCCTTACTCTTGCAGAACACTCCATTCATGATTTCGAGTTTACCTTATTTCTGGGACTATAATCTGTTTTGTTTTTAATTCTGAAATTTAAATTGTCCTAACCTGCTGGTGAAGGGCAGATGACAAATTTGAGGGTGGCAGTGGCGCTTTGAAGTTACCTCAAACCCTAACCTATTCTACTTTGCCTGAACAAAGCGAAAGCCTTTACAGGCAGACGCCTCTATTCTTGTGATCATGTAAAGCTCTCTGCTTCTATAGGGAAGGGCATTTGCAGACATGCACATGAGTGTGCATTGGCTGGAGGCAAAGCTTGCTATACCCATTCTATACGTGGATTCAGCACCTGTGTATACTGAACACCTGAATAGGGCTTAAGAATTGGAGTTTGTTCATCTATTTCAGCTGACCAGGAATCCTGTAGGATCCAGATGGCTGAAAGGCATTTAAAGGGTTCAAGGTGCAAAACCCCATCAGTTTTCTAGAGAGGACAATAGCAAGAGAGCCATTGCAACCACAGCCTTACCCTTATAGTCAAAGCAGAGATGGGCCATACAGACGTAGAGTCCAGCTCCCATCACCCCAATCATCAGCTATGCAAAATCCAGTAACATTTGGGAAGCCACAGGTTCTCCATTCCTCCAATGCACAACGTAATGATTAGTCCAGATGTATTGGAGGTGATCAAAAGCAAAGAAGTAGAGAAAGTTAGGTGGTGGGTTTTGGGGGGGCGGTGGGCTGTCTGTATTTGTCTCTTTATATTCTGCTTTATCATCAGGACGATCCCTTGAGGAAATACCTTGCAGAAAATCCACAAAATAGGATTCCTCTAGAGCACCCTCTTTTACCTGCCCCGGGTACGCACTACAGGCCAGACATCATTGAGAATATGAATTATACCCCTACTTACCTGGAACAGGAAATAAAAGTAAGATACCATCATTAAGTGATTATGTCATATATCATATGCTTCTGCTTTAACTGATAAAAAGATGTCATTTAGTACATTTAGGTTGCAATACTATACATGTTTACTAGGGGGTAAGTTGCATTTAACTCACTTCTGCGTAAATATGCATAGGATTGCATGGCCAGCTTGAAAACCACCAATCTGTTGAAAAGATGGCAATGATGGCCCATAAAAGAGAGGAGGCCATTTCTGAGATTTTGATGTTGCAAGCTCCTGAGTTTTACAGAACTCTTCGCAAAGCAAATGCCAAAATACAGCTGCTTTCAAATTGTGGTGCAGGCCTCCAGCCAAATGGTGTGTACAAGAATGCATATATTACGGGAAAATGTATGTAACAATGCATGCATCGATGAATGTAACATACAAAATGCATCGTATTAGGGGAAAGTGCTTACAAAAATGTGTACAGTGGTACCTCAGGTTAAGTACTTAATTCGTTCTGGAGGTCTGTACTTAACCTGAAACTGTTCTTAACCTGAAGCACCACTTTAGCTAACGGGGCCTCCTGCTGCCGCTGGAGCACGATTTCTGTTCTCATCCTGAAGCAAAGTTCTTAACCTGAAGCACTATTTCTGGGTTGGCGGAGTCTTTAACCTGAAGCGTATGTAACCTGAAGCATATGTAACCTGAGGTACCACTGTACTTTTGGGAGAGATTCACACTTAAAAGGCTGTAACAGTGCCAGTTCGGCAGATCAAAGTGGTTGATGGGCATATAGGGGGGCAAGACAATCCCACAAGTAAACTGCCCCTAGGCTAGCAAGGGCTTTACCAATACCGTTTTATTGCGGCAAAAGCCAGTGACACTAAACACCACAAGATCAAACAAATAAAAATCAACAACATCATAAAAAAAAAAAAGGATTACACAAGGGAACTTCGCAGTGTGCCATTCAACAGAGGAGATTTACGCTTCCTGATTACTAAAGTGCAAAATTTGGTAAGGGCTTTGAATACTAATAACATTTGTTGCATTTGCTGCCCAAGCATTGGTGCTGCCACCACTGCATTGGTTTCAGGGGGCAGCAGTCAGTCAGTCAGTCACCGTGGTGAGTTGTGTACCATACCCCTTGTTGGGTGCCCTCTGAGCTATCCTGTTCCCTCAGGTGTGGTGAAGGACACTGGCCCCCGGCTGATGTTTAAGTGCCACTCCATTTAGCTTTCGTATGTGTAACTGGGATGGGGGTGTCATAAGAACAGAAGAAGACACTGCTGCATCATGCCAATGGCCCATCTAGCACAGCATCTTTTTCTCCCAGTGGCCCGCCAGATGGAGAGCCTGCAAGCCAGGACCTAAGGGCAACAGCACTCTTCCCGTTTTAGGCAGCAAAATGTATTGCGGCAGCCCTGACTGCAGTGCTTCATTGGTCTGATCTGTCCTCCTCCTAGATCCTGGAAAGGCTTCGTGATATTTTACAGACAGACTCGCTTGCAGAGATCCAAACCTGGTTATCAAAGGCAACTCTAAAAGGTAAGGAGAGAAAATGTGATAGTTGCACATGGCTGAAGTGTCAACTGACTTTGGGCTGCATGCGGCAAGCAGGAGAGCACACCCCTCTTTGTACAGTGGTGCCTCGCAAGACGAAATTAATTCGTTCCGCGAGTTTTGTCGTCTTGCGATTTTTTTCATCTTGCGAAGCACGGTGTCGGGAAAGTTTTGGAAAAGGTTCAAAAATCACCAAAGTCTTTAAAAACCTCAAAAAAGGCTACCACACCGCGTTCTATGAGTTGCTCCTCGAAGTCGCAACTGTATTAACGGTGTTAAGAAAAAGGAAACAAACTTGCAAGACGTTTCCGTCTTGCAAAGCAAGCCCATAGGGAAAATCGTCTTGCGAAGCAGCTCAAAAAACAAAAAACCCTTTCGTCTAGCGAGTTTTTTGTCTTGCGAGGCATTCGTCTTGCGAGGTACCACTGTATATCTATCTCTATGTATATAAAATCAGATTATCGTTCCCTTTGATAACAAACTATTGGATGAATGCCTGCCAGTTTAGAAGTGCCAACCCCAAATACGGTAGCAGTTTTTGCATACTTGAGGGATACTGAATATATAACAGAGGAGTTATCTCTCTACCCAGCTGTCACACCTAAGTCAGCTGTGGCATGGCAGGAGGTTCTAAAGCTCCCACGATATATAGGGATGTTTCAGGAGGTAAGGAAATGAACTGACACCTGCCCATCCCAATAAACCTCTATATAGCCCAGAGCTGTCTCAAGACATTTTGCTGCCTGAGGCAACCTACATTCATCTACATTCATCCTCTCCCCACTTCCATGTACAGAAGCTGACTGGGCAAGCAGTTGATTCTTACTTCAACACTTGCATCCTCCACTCCCCGAGTGATGCTAAGGGGGTCCCACTAGATTAGAGGGTGGTAGCAAACTTTTATGTGAGGGGAAATTACCAAAGCACTCTGATCACAGGGAATGAGCCCCCAGATCCTGCCACCTAAGGTGATTGCCTCACTCCACCTAATGATAGGGCGGGCTATATGATTCTCAGGTTCTGGCCTTGGACAAGAAAATAACCCCACCCCCGGCCTGCACCCATGCTTTATTTATATATAGCATTTTATCCCACTCTTCAGCCAGAAAAGGGTTGCAGAGCAGCTGGTCTCTTGGAACAGCCTTGCACCACTTCTCTTCCCTCCTCTTTTTTCAGCCTGATGCAATGGCTGCTGCCAGGTGACAGCTGATAGGAGGACCACCCCAAATTAGATTATATTTAATTTTTACACATCTCCCACTGTTATGATGATTTAACAACAAATGTGTTGGAAACCAAAGAAGGGGAAAGTGCTCTTGTGCTTGAATCCTGCTTGTATGTTTCTCACAGGCGTCGTATGTGTTATATTTAAAGAACTTAAGATTTTTAAGAAATATTATGGAGGGGGAACCTGAATGGAGAAAAACCTGGAATGCATTTTATTTCCATTAGATGAAAGAAGTAGCATCACAGTTATACCCTTAAGATTAAGATCTTGGATATTTTCAATACTTTATTCACAAAGCATGTTTAGTCTGTGGTGCACACACAGATATGCCCATACCATCCTCTCCTATTTCTGGGAGTGTTCTTCCTATGAAATAGGCTTGTGTTGACCTTCCTCTGCCATCGAAAGAAAATGGGGAGTAGCCTTTCCATGCACACAGAAGACCCTGACATATCCATTATATTAATATTACTACCTGGTAATGTTGTACCTATTTGAGTTGCAAAGCCACAACATTTGGAACACAAGCTGCATCTATATTCCTGGTGTTTCAGAGAAGGAGTTTGTGTCCAATTTCATCCGTTCCGACGTGACCAGCCGAGATCTGCTGAATTATCAGAAAAGGGCACTGAAAGAAGCTGACGTAGAGGCTCTGAGTTTACGAGATATGCTGAAAGCTGAAAGAGCACTTCAAAATAAACCAGCAAGTGAAGAGAGCCGGCGCAGGTAAAATTGATAATGCATTGCCCTAGGTATGGTGCTACTGGGAAGCCACCAGATTGGTCATTTGCCTTGTTTGCAGCATGGGCTGGGATTATTCACAACTAGCACTTTTTGCTCACCATGGATGGTGATGTTGAGATCTTGTAATTTACACAAGTAAAGCAGGTTGAGAAAGAAAAGGAAAAATCCATGTCATTTCCAAACCACCAAAAGGTATTTGACCTTTAATGTAAGCTACTGGCCAAAGCATAACTTCTGAGGAAACCAGCCTGTGTTGGTTCTAACAGGAAATAATCCAAAAACTTTAGGTCATATCTTAAAAGCCAATTGAGGGTAATAAATCTTGGTGGGGAACCATGCAGAATTGTGCATTTATCCAGGAAATCTGCTTTCTATTGCATTTCATTCAGTAGTAAAATTTTGAATGAGAGATACTGTCTCAGGCTACTACTGGCAGCACCTCTACTTTGGAACTCTCTTGCGATCGAGATCAAGCAGGTGTTTTCACTGTATTCTCTTTTCAGCCCCTGGTTAAAACTTTTTTTGGGGGGGGGGGCAAGTAAATCCGGACAAATATATGACGGAATTTTAAAAATTCTTTTTTTTACTGTTAATGTTTAACATCTTTAAAATGTTTAATTGTTTTAACTGTGTTTATTGATAATTTTACTATTTCTTGTGAACTGCTTAGAGGTTTTACTAAGATCAAGTGGCATTCACATTTTGTTAACTATAATAAATGCTAGTTTATCTTTGCTCCTGAACTAAGGGGTCCTTGAACTAAGCAACAGCCACGGCAATAAAGAATGTTGAAAGCGGAAACCACAAATTCCTGACTTACTGCTCTCACACTTCTTTCTTTTTAATGAAATTATTATCATTGTGTTGTATTTCTGTTCAAATGTGGATGATCTGCACATTGATTTTTCTCCTGTCTCCACCATCCATTCTAAAAAAAAATTGTACTGTACCTCATACTATGCAGAATGCCTAATATTGTTCCAATTTCATGGAATTTTCTTTCAGCTGATATTAGACAGGCCACCTCCTTGCTGAATACTTCTTAAAATTTCAGCAGGCATTTAAAGTCACTTCTGATTATATAGTTTTTAACCAATATTTACCTTTTTGTCTTTACTGTGTCACTGTGCACCACTAAAACATGTAAATAACAGTATATAAACTGTATAAAAAACCTAAGAAGTCTTCTTTCTTTTTTAGGCTTTCAAGCAGAGGAACAGCATCCAGTAAAGGTGAGAGGCTAGTTATGCATTGTACATTTTTATCCAGAAAAATAAGACCATGCTTGCAAGAGACTGAGTTCATATGTATTAAAATTAGTTGAGAGGAAGCCGCATCATCTTGCCTCTTGACAGCATCACACATAACTGCTGTCATAGTGGCATAAATGAGGACAGCTCTGTCATTAGATGCATAGACAAAAAAACCTTCAGTTCAAACGGCCTCGGTCCAGTATACCTGAAGGAGCGTCTCCACCCCGATCATTCTGCCCGGACACTGAGGTCCAGTGCCGAGGGCCTTCTGGTGGTTCCCTCACTGTGAGATGTTACAGGGAAGCAGGCAGACGGCCGTCTCAGTAGTGGCACCCGCCCTGTGGAACGCCCTCCCACCAGATGTCAAAGAGAAAAACAACTACCAGACTTTTAGAAGACATCTGAAGGCAGCCCTGTTTAGGGAAAGCTTTTAACAGACTATTGTACTTTAATATTTTGTTGGAAACCGCCCAGAGTGGCTGGAGAAACTCAGCCAGATGGGCGGGGTAAAAATAATAAATTATTATTATATATTATTATTATCAGTGCATTAATGTAGCTTTGATTTTCACAATCTCATTCAGACAGGGAGAGAAGTACACACACAAGAGAGAAAATCCGAATCCCAACTTCTGAGGCTCTAGAGCGTTCCCCCAGCAAACTCACAGTTCTTCAAAGTCACCCCCACAGTCCTGCATTATCCCAAAACAGCACTCAGTTGCTGTACAACAAGGCTTACTCTAAGCGACACAACGCTGCTTCAAGAGGTGAGGCCCGATTTCAGAGCATCTGAAAATCAGCACAATGCTTTTCTTGGAAGATAACATGTACAGTGAATCTCACACAATTTTTTCCAAAGCTCTAAAGTGTCATTTTTGTTGTTAGAAAAAGTTTATAGCCACACCATTTAAGAGTTTTACCTGCTAAACAGGTATTTGTAAAGTTATACACATACACACAAAATACTGAATGTTAGAACACTGGTAAACAAAATGCTAAATAAACATTTTGTTTTTAAGAGTGCATGTCATTGTGTCTTGGTAATTGATATGAAAAGATATCGTGAACATTTTCATTCTTTCTGAATACAAATGATAGAAGTGATCTATTTCTGCATAATCTTCAGAATTTTGAATATTCTTTAAAATTAATGCACTGCAGGTCAACATTCGAAAAAATAAGTCAACAGTGTTTACAACTTAGTACAGCTCCCCTGGGCTTCATTCAGGTCAGTAATGCTTTAAGTGGCTATAGTATAGTCATTCAATAGCACTCCAATCTGCTGGATTTTAGTGGAGTTCATATCCATGTAGTTTGTTAGGACTGGGGTCAAGACAATTCATTAAGGGAGCCCCTTCTAGTTGGCTGTTCCGAGAGAATCCAGCTATTTACTTGGATCAGTGATATTAACCCAAAAGCCAGAATGAAAGGAAATGCAATACGCTCTCTCTTTCTAACAGATTTCAAATGAGCATGCAACATGTAGCCAAACTATGGAACTCAAAGGCAGTGATGGCCGCCATAACTCAGAATAGTGCTGGTGGACTCCATTGTCAACATTCTGGCAATTCAGTTGCTGAGTGCTAAAAGGCACTTTTTAATACCCACAACCTAGGTTTCAAGTTGTGCCATCTACTAGACACATGTCACACCAGTGCCAAGGGACCTATTAGCCACTAAGCCAGTTTTTAAGGTCTTGTTACTTACATAAAAGAAACACCTGCTTACACACTTTCCCTTAATTTCTCAACCTAAGAAAGTTTTAATATTATTGTTGCTAGCATTAAGTGGTATATAAATAATATCTTCCAGTGTACTTGCCATGAAATCTATATTGTAATCCAGAGCACTATGCACAAATGATAGGTTTCTGCAGGTGCATGGATGGGGAGGGCAATCCAATTTCTCTTTCGGGCTACAGCTTCTTGTGTCACTTCTGTGAATGTTCCCCAGCCTTCAGAAGCAGATTGGGGAAAATCGAGGGGCTACAGTGAGATGAGGGCTGGAAAAGCCACAGGGCACATATGGAACACCATATATTGCCCTTTGGATACTGATGCACAGCCATCTGTTTATTTACCCTAGCATAAAGTTGCAGGAGGAAAAATAATGCCTATGCCCTCCAATTCCCCTTCCACCCAATACCCATGTGCACCTGCTCTTTTGCTGACTTGAGTTTCCCACCAAAAGAAGAACCAAAACAAGTCAGAGCACAGAAATGATAGCCAAGACTATTCTGGTGAGGTGGTCACATTTCATTGTACTATAATAGTGATATGGCCCATCTTCAAACTCTTTCCCCCCAGACACTAACAGCTGAGTCTGCAGTCTTCAGGATCCTGTCTGTCTGGGGCTACGGAAAAGATTCAGATACACAAATCTAAAGTCATAATAATTTAAATAGCCATACATCCATGTCAAACACTTCATAAAAGTGTGCAGACTGCAACCCAATATTCCCGGGCACATATTTATATAACTTGCCCTAGGGAGTTATTAAACATGCCGTTGGAGATTTTGTTCCAAGTCATTAAAGTGAAAAACCTCTACAATGTACAATAAACATTCAGTATGTTATGGGAACTGCATATAGTCAACTATTTTCTTAAAAGGTAGCTAATGCAATAGAGAGACAGCAAATAAAACAGACTTCCATGGGAACTTTAATATTAGTTTTTAAAACAGATCAGACCAAGATTTAGTGGTTACCAGTGCCAAACAACCAGAGCAGTCTGTTGTGAACATGATGCAGATGCCATAAGCAAGGCAGGGAAAGTTATGTGGGTTAGCTGGTGGTATTCTCTTACTAGAAAGATACGCAAATTACATGAGATGTGCAACACATAGTAACACCCCTACAAACATTTAGTGCATTGCTTCTTATGAGAAGAACAAGTGTGGTACTGAAAACAGTGTTAGATTTGGGCTCAAATCCCTACTCAGTCATGAAGCTTGAAAGGTGAATTGGCCATGCTGGCTGGGGCTGATGGGAGTTGTATTCAATCATCTGGAGGGCACCACGTTGGGGAAGGCTACTGGAAGCCACTCATTTACTCTAAGCCTAATTTAACCTGCCACTTCATTCTTAAAATGCATCGCTAGATAACTGAAATGATTCAGCTGGCCATGGAAGTTCGCCCTTAGCAGCTCTGTTACATCAGCTACTCCTTACAGAAATACAAAGAGGAAAAGTATTTCAATGCATATGTGCATATGCTATTTATAACATGAAGACTACAGACACAAACAGGACTGTACAAATCATGATCTGCTTTGTTTTTTTAATGGGACAAAATTAGTAACATAAAATGCATTAATGAAAGTCTTATAGCCTAAATATCATAAGAGAAAATTGAGAGTGATGGCTAAATGAATGCCTCAGAAGACAGGAATTAAATTTGAATGGAAAACTGGGTTGAAACTAGCAGTTATGTATTTAATACAAAACTCTGTATTCAAGGATGGGGAAATCAAGATACACAGGTATTAATAAGGAACAAGTGATTTGGCAGTAGTAGTTGTGAAAACAATCTTGGCATGGTCAATAAAAATCAGAGGTGCTACTCAAACTTAAAAGCTTCCCCTTCTGGCAAATATTAAATAAAAATAATAAAAAGAAAAATATATATCAGCTTCCTTGGGAAACAAAGTTTTCTTTAAATGCCCTTTAGCAGGCTAAAAAGCTACCAAAAATCAAGTATTCTCTAAGTAGTACAAGTCCAGATCTGGCAAATAAAATTAGTGCTTGATAATAACAGATAAGCTATGCAGCACTCCATAAACAACTGTACACTGCAAGGACAGCAAACCATTCCTGTGTATTCATTCAGCCTCCATCCATTGCCATCTTTGGATTAAATTAAATTAAAATAACATCCAGAGATGCTTATTCACTATCTGAGATTTCACCTTGTACCATTTCTGACTTCTGCCGCTTGCACATGGTGGCTTCGGTTGTCTCATTAAGTGGTTTGGCTCCTTTCCGTTGTGGCAAAACCGTGAAAAATGCTTCCTCCCAGTCTCTCTTTTCCAAGAATGCAAGGATGATTTCAAACACTGCAGCAAAAAGATCACATGTCCTTTAAAAATAACGGAAGTGTCTGACAGAATCAGAAATTTATTGAAGTTATGAAACTAAATTTAATTATAACCTCTGCAGCAACAATAAAGGTAGTTAATCATACACAGGAAGATTGAACAAGCAAAGCTTTCACACCTGGAAATTAAAAAGAAAAAGAAGCATACAGCTCACTTTATGTATTTTCAAACTGTAATAAACATGAGTGGGGCAGCGTGAAACAGTTTTAGAACTCTGAAAAATCAGCGCCTTAAAACGTGGGGAGCCTCCACAAGTACTGAAGGCTCCCCACTGCACTGTCCACATGTGAAGGGTGATGACAAGAAAGAGTAAGAGCTAGTGTGCTCATCCCCACTGCCTGCTGCCACGTTTACTATATGCAGCTTCAGAATCCTTCAAGAGGTCTAGAGTACTACAAAGCTACTACACACAGGTGAATTACTGCGTTACCTGTGGCACTAGACCAAACGACTGTGTTTTCTCTCACTCACTGCTACAAAAAAGTATTATTATTATTATTACTATCACTATTATTATCTACTGAATCACAGCATGTGGGTGCTAAGTAAAAAAGACATCTGACATAATGAGATAACAGATGACAATGATCTCAGATGAATGCCACAAAGAAAGTATAGGCAAAAATCAACAAGGTCCATATTTAAACCATCAGCCTTTAAAAGGAGAACAAAGGAAAGTGTCGTGCACGATAACATTTGACTATACACACACTTATTATTTTCATTTTTTGTTTACTTTCATCCTTACCATGATTGACTGCCAGAACTTTCCGACTGTTCATTTTCACAAAGATCCCTAGTGGAAGTTGTGCATGACTTATGCCTTCTTCTTGTGCTCTTTTGTATGTAATGCCCTGTAATAAGACACGGAAGAAAAAGTAATTAATTCTGATTATCAGATCTGTACATTGTGAGAGTTTCACAGAATGTTAAGAGCTTTGTCTTTTATATATATATATATAGCTGTGGGTGCATAGAAGTCATATGGCACAACTAAAAAAAGTTTCATACAGCTTATATATAGTTTGTTTCAAATTAGTAAAATATTTTGCAACTATATCCTAAGAGACTTTACTGTTTGTGCCTTATGTGTGTTGAAACAAATAACTTGATGCAATTCATACTCAAGCAGGCAAATACAGCTCATTTACAAGCCAGACTTTTCAAGACACCTGCAGGTCAGAGGCTGTCCAAAAATACTGGAAAATCCGCTCTTAAGCAAGTATTTCCCTGAAATTATTCTGTGTGCTTTAGTTGCATGCCACCTTCTTATCGATGAGAAGGCACACTACGAACCACTCAGATTTCTAAAGGAAGAACAAGATGATTAAGTGCTTGGTATGTTTACTATTATCACCCAACTGCTTGCTTTATTTGTATATTCTAAATATTTTCACTTAAGCTTATGTTCAGCATCTCTATTTGTTAGAAACACTTGGATATGCTACTTGGGAGTCTATTCTTAGTTACTACCATTACTACATTAAATATGATTAAAATAACCATCACAGAAAATGATCTGTTAATATCAGCAGCAACCACAGAAACGCTGCTGCTGTGGGCATTTGCTGTAGCTGTTTTAGGGATCATACTGCAACATGGGCCACAAATACCAAATTGTAAATTTCATGTACAGAATGATGGAGGGGGGGGACAGAAGCCAACCTGAAAACTCAGTATTCCTTCAAATTTGTTTTATGAGTCCTGGTACAGGGTGATTAAATGAACTGTAAGCGCCTCACATCATACTTCATCAGAGAACAGTGTGGCTTTTTAACCTCTCTGCTTTTCCAGTACATCCCTCATGCACAGAAAGATTTTTATGGCAAGTGAAGTATGATGATTTATTAATGTCTTCTCTTCCCATCCTTCCCACAACTGTGGGGCAGTAGATAGTCTGTCTTTCTTAGTTTATTTGCCTTTAGTTCGACCTCTCTGTCTTTCCAAATATAAATTGCTGACACAAAGAATTTGCATTCCAAATGCTCAGTCTGATGTGACTGGCTACTGAAGGAGGCAAAAATGCACAGAAGCAACCACCAATTCTAAAAGAGCAAAGCCAAAAGGGGCGGGGGGGGGGGCTTTTAACAGAAAGTTTGCTGCTCAGTTTCAAAGCATTCAATGAGGAAGTAACTCAAGAATGAAAAATCCACTACTTTAGTACAGTGGTGCCTCGCAAGACAAAATTAATCCGTTTTGCGAGTCTCTTCGTCTTGCGGTTTTTTCGTCTTGCGAAGCACGGCTATTAGCAGCTTAGCGGCTATTAGCGGCTTAGCGGCTATTAACGGCTTAGTGGCTTTAAGAAAAAGGAAACAAACTTGCAAGAACTCGCAAGACGTTTCGTCTTGTGAAGCAAGCCCATAGGGAACGTCGTCTTGCGGAACGACTCAAAAAACGGAAAACCCTTTCGTCTAGCAAGTTTTTTGTCTTGCGAGGCATCACTGTAGATGTTGCCAGGTGCCCAGAAAAGTAGCAACCTGCCTTTCACATTATAACACAAAGCAGCAGCTTAAAATAATCATGTTCCATAGCATTCTATGCACATTAACTGAGTTCAACGGGACTTCTTTCCAAGTAAACATACACAGGATTCCACACATTAGTTCTCTACCTTGTGATGATTGTGATCCACAAGGCCTCCAATGACATAGGCTTTGGACTCATCTAGTTCATTCAGGACTTCAGGAGAGTCCGATGTAAGGTACACAAGGTCTTCTTTCTTCATCAGTTCACTATAATGTTCTGATTTAATGTGGATATCCTTCAAGACACAAATACACACAAATGTATCACATAAATTGTCTAACTATTCAAGGACTTTCTCAGAGAACCAGTCAAAGTGGTAGACACAGTTACAAAAAGCAGCTACATTCGACTGTTTCTTCTACATGTGCTATAATGTGGTGGGTGCGATTTTAACAATGTCACTGGCTCTACTTAGAAGACTAGATGAGATTTTTACTTCCACCTCCGAGGCAGAAGGAAGTCTGTCTCAAGAGAACCTGCCCAACATTACATCTTGAGCAGATCCTCTGAATCAAACTACTTTCTTGTCAAGAAACATGTCCTAATCAGCCTGGATACAGAGAAGAAAAACTTGATTCATGACTGGCCTCAAAACAGCAGAATTTTTAAAACAGCAATTGAAAAAGCTGCAACAAGGTCCTTTTGTACATATACTCATTCACTTAGGAATTGCAATACTGTTCTCTTCTTCAAATTTATCAATCTTCACTTATAATTCAGAAACCCAGACATAAACAAAGCAGCCTTCTCACTCAAACTCATAACTGACTGGACAGAAAATCATCAAAGGAGGAATTAAAAGAGTTCACGACACAATCTAATAAGCTAGAAATGATGTGGTTGAGAATTCCCACCTCATGTGTTTCCTAAAAGCTAGTAGTGAAGTGGTTGCAGCTGCGAGACTGGTAACTGGGAGCATATGGCTAGAATCATATAACAACGTTCTTAAAAAATCTACATTGACTCTCAGGATGGTTCCGAACACAATTCAAAGTGTTGGTATTGACCTTTAAAACCCTAAACAACCTTGGCGCTGTATAACTGAAGGAGCATTTGCACTCACATCATTTAGCCCAGGCACTAAGGTTCAGTTCCATGGGCCTTCTGGCAGTTCCCTCACTGCAAGAAGTGAAGTTACAGGGAACCAGGCAGAGGGCCTTCTCAGTAGTGGCACCCGCCCTGTAGAAGGCCCTCCCATCAAATGCCAAAGAGATAAACAATTATACAACTTTCTGAAGACATATGAAGGCAGCCCTGTATCAGCAAGTTTTTTATGATGTTTTGCTGTGTTTTTTATATTCTGTTGGAAGCCTCCCAGAGTGGTTGGGGCATTCATTTAAACACACAAACAGGACGAAAAAGTGTTCACAACAAAAGTTAAGCAAATCTGAAATTGCCAGTACCTTCCAGTTTACCCATCCTTTGTCAGTTTCATTCATGTTGTCCTTTAGCTGGCCTCCATGGCTAGTCAAGTAAAACTTGGGAAGATAAAAAGGCAAAAGAAGTGTATAATGTTGACTGCTAATATCTAACTTCTAATTAGGTACTCCTCTGTCCCTAACAATACAAGCATATATTATTTTTGAAGGTGTTCAAATGGATTTTGATTACGTATTTTTCGCTCTATAAGACGCACCAGACCACAAGACGCACCAGACCACAAGATGCACCTAGTTTTTGGAGGAGGAAAACAAGAAAAAAAAATATTTTGAATCTCAGAAGCCAGAACAGCAAGAGGGATCACTGCACAGTGAAAGCAGCAATCCCTCTTGCTATTCTGGCTTCTGGGATAGCCGCGCAGCCTGCATTCACTCCATAAGACGCACACACATTTCCCCTTACTTTTTAGGAGGGAAAAAGTGAGTCTTATAGAGCAAAAAATATGGTATTTTAGCAAAAACAGGATTTTGCCTAAAATGTTCCACAGCAAAACAGTGTGGTTATGGCCTATTTATATAAAAACCAAATATTTAGTCAATTTCAGTCTTAATTTAATCTTTGTACACCCTGCATTTTTAAAAGTGCTTAAATGAGTACTCTATTGCAATAAAATGTAGTTATACCATAATTAACCAGCTACCTTACTTTGCTTGTGTTGTGTTTTGGACTTGGGACTAGACAAGCACACAAGTACTCTAAAATATTAACTGCATGACAAGATTATACCTGTTTTTAGGCATACACAGATATTTGCACTTAACAATATATTGAAATGCAAGTCTGACAAAAATACTGTCAAATTATGTCTCTGTTTGTTATTAAAGAATATATTTTCATTTTTTGAAGGAGTGGCCTTTCACATTTCATGTATATAACTAACTGGTCCAAACACAAAAATCAGAAAATAGTTTACAACAACATACCTGTACAGGATGGAGTGCTTTGCGATTTTCTGCATAACATCTCTGAATTTGCTTGTGAAGTTTCTTGACATCCTGTATACAACACAATTTGTTTTTATATTGTCCTTCAGAGAAAGCACCACAAAATGCTTTAACCAAGAGATTCAGAGACGCTAAAGAGAGAGAAAGGAAACTTTTAACTGACAAAAATTTATTTCTGAATAGAACATTTATTTTTGGAAAAGAAATATTAAGTCACTATAAAAAATAACATTGCAATTAAATAATTTTTCAAAGATCTCACATATTCACTATTGTACTTAAAGTTCATCATGTTGAAAATAAAAAATAATACTAATTTACAAACAAGTTAAAACTGAAAAGGAAATATCTAAGCTGCAATTCTATGGCTGCTTATTTGAGAACAAGCCCCTCTGAAATCAGTGGAACTTTCTTATAATCAAGTGTGTACACGACAGTAATCCTAGTCTAACCACTGTAATAATTAACAGTGATGCACAATTCCTTCTAGAATTAGAAGGAATTTCTTCACCATGTGCTTTCAACTGCCATTCATTATTAAGTACAGTAGAACAAACATTTTAGGAAAGTGAGATGCAAATGTCTCCAAGCCTATTGGACACCAGTGGTGCTCACTAAATACCAGTGCTACATACTACCCACTGTTGTAAAACAGAAACATTATACAGTAGTTTCAATCTCAATAGCCTTATTTTACTAACATATCTGTATGTCTCTACAGCCCTACACCAGAGCTTTCCAAACTTTTACCTTTTAGACACCTTTTAGACATGCATCATTTCGTGACACAGTAATTCAGTTTTATTAGGAAACCAGAGATTAAACTAACCCCTTTCTAGCCCTGGGAGGAGTGCCATGTGTTCACGCGACACACCTACACACTACACCCAACACACTAACATGTGGCAACACACAGTTTGGAAAGCTCTGGCCTACATTATTATAGGCATACCCTAATAACCAAACAAAAGCACCCTAAATAACTTGCTTCTGAAAAATATAACTTTCATTTACCTTTAGCTCCATTAAATTGTCAAAACTGCAATCTATAATAAGGCGAAGGGTACTAGGAACAACATCTCTACGCAAACGTTTCCTGAAACTTCCATCGTTGCTAGATTCCAACTGAGACTGGCGCTCTTGTTTTCTCTTCAGGCGTTTTTCTTTACGTTTCTGTCTGAAAGATAGCAATTTGTAAACACCCAAGTGCCAAGGTATTAACTATACATTGCTTCTGCACACATATGCAACATAAAGAGATGGTAGTAGATTAGTTAAGCACTCTAGCTCACCCATCTTGTCTAGGGTACAAACACTTTCATACAGTCTTTCTCTTCAAGTGTTTTGTGTTTTGACCTGCAGTGCTCTGGCCTCTCTGACTTGCTGTCTTGTGCCCTTGCACTCGCAATGCCTAGTTCTACATTCACACCCTTTCTTGAAATGTTCATCAATTTCATCACCTTCATCCCAGGGGAAAGATTTGCTGTTATCCTTTTGCAAGACAAGTAATAGCTTTACTCTTAGTCTTTCATAAGCAACTGTCTATAAAAAATGATTTTTAGAGAAAGAAACTGCTCAAGGAGAAACAGTTATCAAAGCAGAAGTACAACTGAACCTATTATTCCTTCCAGTGTCTTGACTGGGACAAAACAAAAGCTTCACACAAACTGCAGCACAGAAAAAATGGAAGAGGGATTTGAAGAGAATGTTGGTTAAAGCTCAAGAACTCCATTGCAACTGTTAGCCGTGTTGTGGGATAGAAATGCCAAGGTCAAGAAGAATAAATGCACAATTTCCTTTTTCCATATCTGAATGATGGAAGGCAGGAAAACTAAAACATGATACACACATTAAATCATATGTGAAATGTATAAGATTCCTGTGACTCATTTATTCTAATCAGGTGATTGTATCAAATGCCTAGTGTAATGTAAAATAAATAAATATAGGTTTTGCAGTAGTTTCTAAGCAGGTTTTTATCATGCAATCCTGCATTTAAATAAATGTTAGTTTTCCCTAACACGTTTTTTCACTTCTCCCCACAGTAATGGGAATAAAAGAAAGGGCATGAGATAAAGAAGCCCATTTCTGATCTTTTCTTTTATACAAATTGGGGATAGAGAGAAGAATATAACCTGAACCTGCTCAGTTATTAACCCAAGCTTGTAGCAAGAAATAACCCATACTTGCGCAAGTTTCTTTGTTCTTCCCACTGTTTCTGTTTCATTAGCTTCTTTCTTTGCCTCTTTGACATAGCTTCAATATTCTCCATCTTTTCCAGTAATTCATTTCCTATTTGATCAAGGTTGCACTTCCCATCTCCTTTTATATCAGTAACCTTGGATGCCACAAGGTTTTCTGGTAGCATTCCTGATGACATGAGCTTTCTAATTATCTTACTTTTCTTTTTCCCTGAAGATGCTACAAATGTTGGAATCAATATATTGTACAACTTCTGCTTCCAATACTGTGGATAAAATAGAAGTTTTGATATTATTTTAAAAGTATGCATAGAAATCTTTGTTTGTTAGAACTATAACAATTAATCTCAGAGAAACTTACAAGACTAGGAATGCAACATATTGTTTCCAACCTATTTTCCTATTATGTTGCAAATGAACCAACATGGAGGATAACAAGAAAACAAAAAAAACCACCAGTATATTTCTAAAAATCAGTATGCTTTAATGTCAAATCGGTGGTTATGAACAAAGGATAGCACACGTTTAAGGCACGAGGCAAACAATTTGTCACCTCAAATAAGCCATACGATGGGCAGATGTCCTAAACTGGCAAGAAGCTTAAGGAAGTGTGTTCAGAAATTAAGAGCCTTGAGGAGGCTTACTGAAGACGGACATAATTCGCTGCGGAAGAAGCTTCAGCCAAGTCCGCCTCCTCTTTTACCTGAAGCTGCGGCCTCTGGCCTTTTATTTTTATTTTTACGAGAGCTTCAACCCATTTTTAGCCTCTTAAGACACTTGGAGCTGCTCTCGCTGCGACAGACTAAACGCGGCTAAGCCGTCTGTAGATTCACTTATTATTATTACTACTACTGTTTAAAAACACAGAGAGATAAACCCAAGCGTTTTAAAAGGTGTGTGTGTGGGGGGGGGGGGTCCGTTATCAACAGCTTCCCCTTCGCTACCAATCGCCGCCCTGAGGCGGGTGGGGAGGGAGGGAGGAAGGAGCGCCCGGCCGAAAGCTGAAGCGGGGAGGGATACGAAGAAACGCGGCTTCCCGCGCTTAAGAAACAGGAAAGGAAAGCACCTGCCTGCACCCGCGCGCGCCAACCCGCAGCAACCAACACCAACAAACGCCGTGGGCCGCGCGCCGAAAACCGTCTCCTCACGCGCTACCTCAGGCTGAGCGGCGGAAGCGGGAGATGCCGGCGCGCGGCAGTGACGCAAATCCCCTCGCGACCACGGGCGGGGCTCAGGGAAGGAAGCTCCGCCCCTGGCGGACGGGCGGGCGAGCGATTAGCGCGATGTTTTGGGGTCCTAAGGTTGACGCGCTGACGTGTTGCGGCTTGTACTTTAGCTGACTCCGTCGCTGCCTGCGTGTGCCCGGCTTTACCAACCTTATACGAAAGTTAACACGGCAGTGTTGGGAACACGCTATCTCTCTCACGAAAAAGAGATAGTCGGTGTTTCTCAAACTTGGGTCCCCAACTGCTGTTTGACTACAATTCCCATCACCCCTAGCTAGCAGGACCAGTGGTCAGGCATGATGGGAGTTGTAGTCCAGCAAACACCCGAGGACCTAAGTTTGAGAAACACCGTGAAAGAGAACCTCCATTTTCAGAGGCAGTGTTTATCTGGGCAGTTGCTGCGGGGGTGGGGAGAGTAGTGGGTCAGTCTTACTTGATGTTATCTACTGAGTTGACTAGGATCCAAAAGGCAGCAGTCTGATTGGTCCTAGAACAATAGGGTCCAGAATGCAGCAGTCTGATTGGTCCACAGGAGCCACCCAATCCAGCTCCAGGTGGAAGTGAATCCGCAACCTGATTGGCCTACAGGATAATCCTGAAATCAGCCAATCACGTGGGGCTCATTGTATATATAATGCAGACATTCTGGGGGAACTTACATTCATCCTCACTACTATGAGCTGAATAAAGAGCATGAAATCCACACTTGACTCCGAGTATATTTCACTTGAGGACTTATTGGGAACATGTAGGTGAACGTTGGGAAATAGTGGTCTAGTGGTGCTCTGCTTGCATAGCTGTCAACTTTTTCCTTTTTTTATATTGAAGGATGCATTGCAGGGGGCGGGTTGGACTAGATGACCCTTGGGTCTCTTAAGATTCTAAGATATGGGAGGTGTGTGTAGAAACCAGCCCACTGTGTCAAGTCAGTCCAAAAGCATGAAACACATTGGGAGCCATTCTTTTGCGTAAAGATATATAGTTGTGAGAGTAGCAGATGGGTGAATTTCCTTTATTACATTTTTATCCCATTGTTCCGCCAAGGAGCTCAACCATCATTTTATCCTTTCAACAATCCTGCAAAGTAGTTATCTGAGAGATGGTGATTGTTCCAGTGTAACCCAGTGAGCTTTTTGTCATGTCTAAGTGGTGATTGTGAACCTAGATCTCCCTTGAAGTAATTCAGCACTGGCCATTAAACTTCTGGCTCTCAAAACTTCTTAAAGCTGCAGACCTGACTCCCCCCTACACCTGAATAGAACCAGATTTAAACCAGCACTGCATACCACATTGTAACAACTCATCTAGAACAAACCCATTTTTATGTGTTACATGGTGAAAGTAAGCATGGGAAAGAAGGAAGTTAAACAATTATTTAATATCAGCTTTATGAATCGTAAAAAAATGTGATGTTGTGCATCATTGTGTGTGTCTTTAAATTCATGTGGTGGCACAGCAGATTTAGGACCACAGTGCATGATGTGTAGCCTGCTTGATTTCAAAAGTCCACGCTGGCCAGTGAATCTGCACCTTTGTTGTCTGATTAGATAGAAAGTGTGTTATGCAAGTCTTGTCTTTCCCAATCAAATATTTTCTGGGAAGAATACTGTACTAAAGTTAGTGTATCACAGCAGAAGCAGGCAATATAAAATGAAGCTGTGTGTTATGTGTAGTGCATGTTAAAGACATATTCACATAGCTCTTGAAATAAAGCATATGAAGCCTGTAAGCGTATTTATATATCGTAGCCATAATATATATTTCATATCAATATGAACATAGAAACATTTATCTCGTTTCAGCTTGATATGCTCATTCATTCCTGGAATATGAATGGTTTTAGATTTAGGACAGTATAGTTATTGTTCTGAGTTTCAGTTTTTACAATTATTAGTATGCATTGATTATCATTCAATAATCAAGGCATGTTTTCAAAATAATATAATATAAATTAGTGCACATTTTATGCTTTTTAAAGTGAAATCCTAAACATGTCTACTCAGAAGAATATTGTGATGGCCATTAGCTATAAATTTCCAGGTAAATCAGTATAGAACTACATCATTAATAATGGTCTTTGGGAATTTGATATACCATTGTAAAGAGATTACTCTTGTATCATTTATTTATTTATTTATTTATTGTTTCCTCACATTTTGAATAAAGTACTAGTGTCTCAGAGTCATTTATTTGAATTAGAACTGCCAATCATAAAGTACTGTGAGAACGTTCCTATCGCTGCAGTCAAAGGTAAAGGTAAAGGTACCCCTGCCCGTACGGGCCAGTCTTGACAGACTCTAGGGTTGTGCGCCCATCTCACTCTAGAGGCCGGGGGCCAGCGCTGTCCGGAGACACTTCCGGGTCACGTGGCCAGCGTGACATCGCTGCTCTGGCGAGCCAGAGCCGCACACGGAAACGCCGTTTACCTTCCCGCTAGTAAGCGGTCCCTATTTATCTACTTGCACCCGGGAGTGCTTTCGAACTGCTAGGTTGGCAGGCACTGGGACCGAACAACGGGAGCGCACCCCGCCGCGGGGATTCGAACTGCCGACCTTTCGATCAGCAAGCCCTAGGCGCTGAGGCTTTTACCCACAGCGCCACCCGCGTCCCATCGCTGCAGTCAAAGAGTTACATAAATGTATGGTAATTTCCATTCTATACAAACCATTTCTGCTTGGCTGAAAAACAGTTAATTTGGAATGACAATATAGAAATGACAAATATGCGAGTGACATTTGCCCCACTAACCGCTTACTTTGTCTTCTGTGAGGAGTAGAATGAGAATGTTTTATTGAAGTCAGCATGGTCAAAGGAAGCACAATTAGTTTTATTAGGTGATAATGGTAGTACATTTATTGCTTGGACTCTGGAAATTTATGACAGTGGTCGTACTTTAACCCGAGAGCACTGGCCACCACGACTTAACTGAAGTGTACCGGAAGGGACCATCATGCAGCCTTTGTTCAAATCAAGGGTTATAACTGCAATTACTTGATTGTATAGCAAGTTCATCCTGAAACTATGAATGCGGTTGTTCTCTGGAACAACCTACAGAATCTACTCTACAGAGTAATGTGGTCACTTCTGATTTTCATTTCATTGGAATTCTATGGAGCTGCCTTATCCTCAAGATCAAACTCCATGGTTCACTATATACCATATTATTTCCAGGATCAGATGCAGTATACCTCGGAATAAAGGGAAACAACAGTTGGAGAGGGCTGGTGTCCTCACCTTCTGCTTGTAAGTTCTCCATAGGCATCCGGTTAGCTGCTTGCCAGATCAGATGTTGGACTTGACGGGTCTCCATTCTGATCCATCAGGGCTCTTATTATGTTCTTATATTCCAGTTATGTGTCCATGATTCATATGGTGTGAATGGAAGGTGGCTTGTATATTACAAGGTCTCTGAGTACCTATAGATCAGCTTTCCAGTCACCCCACTTTTCTTCTCATAATGATTGTCTCTCAAGGACATATAGATTATATTCTCAAGAAGAAAACTGTGCCCATGATCTGTGTCCTCTTTCCAAAGCCACATTCAGGCAGCAGCTGTGGAACCTGATGGCTTTTGAACAATGGCAGTCAAAAGAGTCATGTGATGATCACTCAAAAAATCGTATTCCAATTTCACCTAACTGCCAACGTGTGTGAGCATTTGTGTGCATTTCTGAAATATTACCTCTGTAATAGAGGAGGAACGGATACTTTCTGGTGAATATGTCATTATTCCTTACCTTATAGAGATTTTAAACATGAACTACCGGTAAGTGTTGAGATACAAGTTAAGCTAGCATGGCAGAGAAGCACACAATTTCCCCCTTTAATTACAAAGGTGTCCCCCTCCTCCAGTTTGCATTGGGGCTGCAGCATGCTGGAAGGGGAGGCTTAACCCTCTCCCCTACATCTGCCATCCTGTCAGAGGAAGAGTTTCCCTTATTTCCCCCATGTGACCCAGCTGTTAGGGTCATGAGTGTTTTGGTTCTGCAGTTTCTCCACACACCTTGCACATCATAAATGAACAAATCAGTCAAAATGAAAATAATAATCCTGGCCAGCCTTTACAGAGGAGTTGTAAGAATTTACAGAATTATCCATGTGAACGATTTGGGGGGCTTGCAGCTCTCCACAGTATACATCAATGGGCTCTTGAGACTGTAGGATGTTTTATCATCAGATGGTGCGAGGGCACGGAGGAAGGGTTCTGTTCAACAACAAAAGCAAAATCCTCACATAGCATGTTTGAAGTAGCTCTTTGGTTCCCAGCTTAAATATCATTAGCATTACCTAGCGAGCTGGCCCTCACCTGACCCTAATTTGATTTTCAAGATTAATGAAAAACAGTTCTTCAGAAAAGCAGGCTTTCACTGAATTGGAAATAAGGAATGAGGTGAGAAAAGTGTGTGCAGTTTTTGCCAGTGGTGGCAATGAAATATGTGGGGAGGATGACACAGGAAGTGCAAAATAGGTTATGAAGCGACACAATCTGCATACAGGGGTGGTCAGTAGAGTGGCACTGTGGAGCTGGCCTCCTAGCAGCAGTGTTACTCCCACTTCCCAGGGTGTTGTGGTGAGGTTGGAGCAGTACAGGTGCACTGGCAGAGACAAACTGGTCCTTCCACTCATACACCTGAGCTGCCTCAACCTCATCACTACTCGGCTTGTCCCAGGAAGAAGCAATAATGCTGCTGTCAGGAGGCCACCCCTGCTGTTCTGTATTGCTCAAGTTATTTGGGAAATTAGGCCATGCAATGCAGAGGACAGTCCTTTATTTGAAGGGCTGCCTGGTCCATTACAAAGAACCCTACAAGGAAGAACAGATGCCTTGAAGTTGCCTTTCGATAGTCAGCACCTGGACAGCAGACAGAGCAAGGCACACAGGCCACCTGGTCACAACCTTTCCCAATGTGGTCTGATGTATTCTATTTCTATTAGGGTTGCCATGTGT